TTTTTTTCCACAAGTTTTAAATTTCAATTTACCCTAAGCGGCACTCCGCTCAAGCCTAAGCAAGTATACGTGCACTAGCTCAATTTCACTCCAAGGCCCTATGGCTACAGGGATTTTTGATTCAGCAATGATTAACACAGCCCATGCGAAATTACATTTCCATCATGGCGCTTTGTTAACCTTCATATACTAGAAGAGCAGCTGTGTAACTTTCACGAGCTGACGATAGAGCCGCCCGCCTAGCCCCCAACGAAGCACATTTTTTCAAATGGGGTAATTACTCGTGTCATCACAAGCTGCTAATTCGTTGATAACGAATTAAACCAGAAATAGAACATTGATTACGCTACATCTCAGAATAATTTACATACCTTTCCTATACTTATTGCAGTACTATCACGAAGATTGTTACTTCATAAAATCAGTGCAATAGATAATGTTCATTTTGTTGCCACACTCTTCCTCCTTTTAGTTTCTATATAAACACAGTTTGTTCCGCAATTACGCACTTCATCTTAAAATCCATCGAAAAACACTTCGTTCTCTATAACGAGACAGAAAAATCACGCATCGTGTCTCTGGAGCCAGCATCATGGGTTCTCTTGAGGCTGCAAAGCCAAACTCCAGCTCTACAACCTCAAAGTTTTCGGGATTTCATTTGTTTAGTAGTTTTAGAGCTTCATCTCCCCGGTCATCTGTTCCAGGTACGTGGCCGTACTGTGATTCATCCACTAAATATTTGCACATGTTTAAAAGAAAACAGTAAGAATCTTTAAATTAAAACGAAATCGTCGAAAAAATGTTCCCTCGTACGCTTGTCGCTTGATACGTATTTGTAAGTATACGTAAAGGTACTGTGTTGTTTGGCATTTACATAAATTATATCTATAAAATCAAATTAGCAGATCTGTATCAAATATTATACTTATAGAAGTGGTTGGTACTCAAGGTTCCCCCTTGATTCTCTCCTAGCCTTAACTCAGGTTGTTCAATCAGTGCGTCAAAATGTAAGTTAATTACCAATAAATTTCTTATAGCAAATAATCAAAACTGTATTGTCGTTGGCTGTCATGTTATAGGAGAGTCGAAAATCCTTAGGATTTAATGCATACTTACATAATTATATGAAACAAAAAAGTTTTTTCATTTTTGATTCGGTAATCGATGTAACATTTTGCCATATTTTGCTTGTAAAAAAAAAAAAAAAAAAAACGCTAATACGTATAAGGCAATCAATGATTAATGATAATTACCCCAACCCAACGTAGCACCCATGACGATTGGTATAACGTAACGTCACAGAGAATTTTCAATTGGTACTTTCGAAAGGAAATCTTTTTATATTTAATCAGAAGTAAAAGGAGCGTCTACAATATTATTAGCACGAGTGCGGTAAAGGCTCTGAGTGTAGCTATATGGCTAGCCGGTACGAACGTACAAATACGTTACAGAGCTGTCCAGTTATCTCTTTGGGTCTATACTCTTGTATTGCGCTTGTCATATTGGGCAGAACCCGAATCCTTTTTGCCTGGCCGATAACATACATAAATAGTTTCGGCTTTCAAAAACCGGTTACGGATTGTTGCTAAAGGATTTCCCGCCGTTATCATAAAGCTGAATTAATTTAAAACCGCAAATATTGTCCTTATTTATCTGTTATAGTATGGGAATAAGCGGAACAGTTGCAAATATTTTTGTTTCCTCTAACTCTTTTAAGTAAAATTATGAGTTATCCGCGACACGGCGGTAATCAATGTATCAAATAAAACTGCTATAGTAAAAACAATATAACTTTCGCAATACGATTTGAAATTTCGTAGAGCAACGATACGAGTCAACTTCAACGTGAAAGGAAGTGGCTGCCTTCACCGGCGCCGTTGGAGCTCAGCTTCGGTCATCATTTATGTAGTATTCTAGTACATTCTAAACACCAAAGGATGCCAAAGCAGCTTTATAGCTTGATTATCAAAGGATCGACCTGCCGATCGGCCCATTCCAATCAAATATTTATAGCACTTAGAGTTCACCCTCTGTGTTTATTTTCTTGTATTGTAGTTTCATCTTTAGTCTTTATCGGGGTATATCGTTAGCACAGACGAAAGTTACTTTCTTTACTGTGAGAAATGTATCTATATTAACTATCTTATTTTATAATGTGACTGTTATAACGATCGTAGAAATGCAATAGGGAATACACACACATCTCATATACTGTTTGGTTTTTGGTGATAGATAAAAAAAAAAAAAACTCATTAACATCAAGCTGGAGTAGAGCAGCGAACATTTGTTTTTAGTATGCTATTGTCTCTATTTTGTATATTAACGATAGATACAAGGGCTTCTAGTATATTTATTATCAAAGTCGTTTTATCACAGCGTAACATATATTGTATTTAGCTCGAAGATATTTTTTTCAACTATAATTGCCACTTTGTCATATTCTTGGAAAATTCAGTTTGACGTTTTCAGTAAACACGTATACAAATTCATATATCCTTGAATATACTAATTAAATTATATGATACTTGTGAATATATATATATATATATATATACAAGTTGCTCTGGGCGTCATCTACGGGCATGTCAACTGTTACTGTTTAGAAGGATCTCGACGCGAGGTGAATCCAAGACGATGGTTTTTAGGTGAGTGATCTGTCGTAATTAGGCGATCTTCATTGGCAAAACCACAGTGACCAAAAAAGTTGTTATTAGGAGCAGGGTCCAATTGGTACAAATCCCTACGACACCTGAGCCAAATACGACGATGCAGCCTGCAACAATGTTAAAAGCTGTTCAATGAGTACGGTCACCAAAGCTCGTTAAATTCACTCACGTTACACGTGATAAAGCTGGTTCTGTAGTATACGTAAATTCACTGTACAAAATTTCAAACATCGTATGTATACATATAGTTTTCCAAACGAAACGAGTACTCGATTACTGCCGACTTCGTAGAATACAGATAAGCTGATATGAATCTCAGCAAATGCTTCATCCTCGGCGTTATCGTGGTTTTTCTAAAAGTTTATTCAGCCGATTCCGACTTGGACGGTTCAGGAAAGGAAATAAGACGACATTTAAGATCTGGTGTTTCTCCTGAGACCGATGGGATTCCTCTAGCAGTATCGTGTAAGACGCCTGGTATAGTACGTCATGGTAATGACAGAACGGTTTCATATGCTCTGTGACGTATCTGAAACTCTTTTGGTATTATTAACCTTGGCATTCACGACCCAGGCTCGTTCTCTTGATTCGGGAACACGCGAGTCTAACTACCTTGACTTTGTCTAATGGCTTGCGCGGGGTCGCGGGGCACGTTAACCACTCACTGAAAATGTCTGAAATTCATAAAATACAGACTACGTTGTATCATATATCTACTGCTATATAAAACTATTATATAAAGATATCATATGAAGCCAGTGGCTGTGAAAAGTTCGTCACTATTGAAATAAAGCTTCATTTTAGTGAAAAGAGATGTCATTGCGGGGCATCTCTACAATATGAAGTAGCTCTGTTCAATTGATCTTAATCGTGGTAATACTTATTGAGAATACGGACACCAACAAACAGCCAGTCTGACTTGACGGCTTTTCAGGTATATTACCTATCAGTGTTTTCAAAGCCCAATTGATATCCATCAATAGTCTCTATAAAGCGTTACATTATTTCGCGGTACATAAAGTATTGTCTGACCGATCCTCCAACTGGATAAGCTGTCATTTTATAGTTAACTGAGTTGGATGTATTCCTAATGTATGGAAATACATAGACGTACGTAAAGGTAGATATTTTGCCATTCTTCAAAACTATTTAAATCGTATTTTGTACAATCAGGCAGTAGGAGTATAGGAACATTAATCGTCAGCTACCTGCTCCTGGGCAAGGGTAATTGGCAGCTACAGAAAGGTGTAGACTTTTTAAGTGGCGAGGACGTGCACACAGGCTTCCATCGCTAGGAGAACAGGCTTCCATCGCTAGGAGAAGATTTCGCGTCAATTCGCGTGATTAAAATCAATACTGTAACTTTATCTAGGTTTTATTTCCAAAAAAAGCGTTGCTTAGATGAAGAAGGAACTTACCGCACTTGTTTAAATACGAGGGATTTTCTTCATGTTGAAACATCGATGGTACTTTCGTTTTTTTCAAATGCTCGATAAGGTAGCAGACGGTTCTGTATGGTATGCACAAGGATCCATTGCTATTGTGGTGGACCTGATAACAGGACATGATTTGCAGATGTGGTTTGGACTCTATTTAGGATGTAATTGATTGCTACATTAGTATACAACAGGCACTACTATCCTCTATAGAAGCTATTCTAGAAGCTGTTGTTACATTATTTCAACATATCTTATACAAATGATATATATATATTCGTTAAATAAAGTGATTAATTAGTGACTATTAGTGACTCCTTCTCTTAACGTACACTATATGTTTTAAAATCAGTTTAATATAAAATATACATATTGGCTCTAGGTCTAAAATAGGATAGATAACCAATCGAACTGGTCAATCTCGCCCTATTATCGTGGTCAACTACGGGAAACGTAGGCGCTTTTTTTTCTAGACTCGATATTAGATAAAATATTTTATTGCCAAGCTATTAATACCCTTTTGTTTGCGTCCGTTTAATTTGCGTACCTTTAGATAAGCATTGAAAACCCGTTTAGGATCGCGCTCACTGAATCTATAAGCTGAAGAAGATTCGATAAAAGCCATCTGAACCATTGGATAGCATGGCATCACCAGCAGAAATATAAACGACGCTATTACCATGGTAGCCTTTGAATTGAGATAGTACGAAGGCATCGGTACCAGAACTTTTCGCGCCGCTACTCTTATAGCTTAACTGTTTTTGAAAGCACTGACATTGCATGTGTATCCATGTCCGCACGTGCACTTTAAACATATATACAGATTTGATGCGCCGTCCTAACGTACACAACTTGAATCGGTAGCTGAAGGTAAAAACGGAAAGAACAAACTTCATTGAGTAACTGTCTCATACTGTAACCCCATTATAAATACTAACCAATAGGAAATTTATATTAGATTCGAGTAATCGTTTGCAGTTGGTAATAACAGCGGAAAACGTTCCCACCACTTGTATAGCAGACGATACAGGTCGTTAGACGTACCTGACAGTGAAAATTCACCATTTTGTCACAACAATAGGATCAACAAAGGTTTACGAAGCTAAGCGATTCATCCGTCAAGCCACTCGATCCACGGGCGTTCGATTTTCACAGCATTATGTCATGCTATCGTCCCACGGTAATTCAAGGCTGTCTTGTAGCGATGACTGGCTATCTCATCTCGTAAACAGTTGTGTCTCTTTTGCTCTCGCTGAAAGACTCAGAATATCCAGAGGTTGTCGGTCACCGATAGTTCGTTTGAATAGACAGTGGCTCCTCTACCGAGCATCGAGCAATGATGCCTTGAATTAAGTCGTAAACTAACCGGTTTAAAGTAAACGCTGTTTGGCCCAGAAACAATCTACTGGAATCGAAAAGTGGATCGTTAGTATTTACTGATTAGGGCTATAATTAAGTGGCGTCTGTTTCGATTAGGTTCACTGTGTATCGAGAAAGATATTATTAGAGATATTACCGTACGTTAGCGACCCGGGCGGATCCATTACATTTAGACCGTTGGGCGGTATTTGATCCCGGAAGTTCGAAATATCATTTTTTTTTTTAATAGTTATTTATTGTCACTGTAATTCTCATAAGCTTACGCTTATGGTTTTGTCCGTATGCGTACGATCCAAAAAATTTTAACCAGTACATTTTTAATAATTTACCCTGATGCATTAGTTTGTATGATAGTTTGTTTGTGATCTTTTTTCACCGTTCTTATTTAGAAAAATGTATGCATCTCGGCTGATACACATCTTTTTCCGCATAAGCCCTAACGGTTATTATTATGATATTAAATGACATAACTTACTTGTATGTGTCGGTATCGCCTGTAGAGCCTACTAAAGCTAACTGACTGTTCAGCACAAAAGAAAGCTCATGCTTATGAAGTGTATTTCCGCTAGATAACTTCCTATACGTATATATACATATATATATATATATATATATATATATATATATATATGGGCCAGATAAATGCAAAATAATAATAATAAAGGTACGTATTCTACGCAAATCATTAGAAATTGTTCAAGAGTCAGTTAAAAGTAAATAACCTTTTCATTCTTATATACCGCTTTTATATATATATATATATATATACATATATATAGTGTCCTGCCATATGTGGCTGATCAATACTCGGCACTTATCGTGCACTATTATGACTATATGAACGTCAGGGTTCAGGCAAGAATATATAATTAATTTTTTTTCTGGATAATGAGTTACGATATGATTATATAACCTCATACAGATTTTGTTCAGTAAATATTAGACAGTGTTAATTAATCCGCGATAGAGGACGACATAGAACTGGGCTCCCAGAGTGGAATACGCGACCCATCAAAACGCATTCAAAGAAATCATCGAATTTTTTATAGCGTAAATTAGCGGAATAGGAACGAACTGTTCGGCTTAACCCTACTTGTTGAGTAATTTTTAAGTTTAGTTACGCAATCCTTTATGAAATTGCCTAACCTTCCACTCGTGTCGAAAGGTCAAACGTTGGTGGTTTGTTTTCTATTTTCTTACGAGGCTGGTAGACTTTTTCAATTTGTTCAATTTCAACCGTTGTTGTATAGATTACGATAACCTATTGTTTTCCCTAATTCATTGTGACACAGTTTCATCAATGCGCACGGTAGCACGCAGATGTTGTGTGAGATAGAAAGCGAACTTTGTTGGGAAACATGGCACCACCGCTCGGCTGCTTAATGCACTCTAGAAGCAAGTAGTTTTCACTCACCGAGTCAGCGGTGGAGGTATCATCGATACGGGAAACACATCCCATCATTCAAATTCCAAGGTTCAAAAGACCGAGGAAAAATTGTGCGCGGTTTATAAGTAGGGACCCGTATCGTAAACTAGCCAAATACCAGATCATCTATTCGAGAATCACAGCCTGATACTGCTTCGACTTCTGCTCGGGGATAATGTGCATGAATTGTACCGCTGTATTATCATCAGGTAGCCAAAAGACGGTTTTACTTGACAATGTACACCAATGTTATTTTCACTAGGATTTTCATCCAGTCAGAATACAAAGGCTACTAGGATAGAAGCACACGTTATTGACGTTGGAATGGTACACAGAGTCTAGACGCGCAGCTAATTTTCTAAACTAAGATGTATTATATATATATATATATTATAATTATGTAACTCATCATACACGTACATGTTCAGTATTACCGCTGATTCGTCTACTGTCCCGTGCTGAGATTGTTACCTTTATCAATGGAATCGTCCGTATCAAATAGGACGGCCAAACGGAAATGAATACAAAAAAGCACCCTTGGGCAAATGATCTAACGCTGAAGATTCAAACCATCCTCTTGCATCAGTATCGATCTGGATTTATTGGTTACTCAACCTGCAAATAGATCCGAGCCGGCTTTCAATCAATAACGTTTCTGTGCCAGCAATCGAAAAGGAATCAATTAAATAAAGTAACGTACACGTTCACAGTAATTGCATACATGCGCAAATCATCTGGCCAACCTTGACCGTTTAGTAAAATTTACCCCACCTGTGGGTGTATAGGTAACTTTCGTTATCTCTGAAGACTAACAGCACCCTTTACCTGGCCTGTGAAGTGGCACGTTTCATCATACGATATAAGCAAGTAGCCGTTATCACAAACTATGAACCTAATATTAGCAAACTTCAGAGATTCTGTCCGGGACGTAACCTGGAGGCTGTCTTTTTTAGCTAGTCCTGTGGTTGTGCAGTCGTTCTAATCGTAAATTTACGCTTTACCTTCGTGATCTGGTTGGTATGGGAATGGCATAAGCCATAAAGTTAGGTTAAGTATTTGTTCTTTATCGCTTTTACGGTTGCTGCCTTTGGCAATTCATGCGCAACGTTATCGATACGAAACAACGATTCTATTTGTCCACAAGCAGCCTTTAAGCAAATGGGATAAAGGGAACGCTCACTGCATGATCTTCCTACACATAATTTATTCGAAACGATCTTCGCCCACCCCCATAAGCATTAGGTCTCTAGCGGTGCTACTAAATATATTTGCCTCGACTAGTTGCGCGCCTGGATAGAGGAAATCAAATAGAGAAGTGGAAGACCTCGTCGATGGCGTTCACCAGAGGTGAATCCATTCAAGCTGCCGTTATGATTCAATAAGATGATATCATAGGACAGCTATGAGCTTAGGCGTCCGGTAAGAAACCTGCCGGCCAGATCGGCCTGTTACCGATTGCCTTGCCGATAGACAATGGTGAGTCAATTCGCTTGGACTACTGGAGTATATAACAGTTTGAAGAATGATTTTTCATAATGGCAGATCCTACTAAACGGCCTATTTGACGACAACAATACACTTAGGGTTTGCCATTAGGACAGCCAAATACTGAATCAGCAAAGATTTATCACTGGACCTATTTGTCTAACGGTCATGAACGAGGACGTTACACCTGTACTCGCCGTGTTTTTCTATACCGATCTGAAACTAGCCATTCATCAGTCACTGCCGAAACAAATTTTTCCATGTTGATATTATTTAAGCGTGCCCTTTATAGATATAGTAGCTTAAAATACTTCAGCCTTTAAGTTTTAAAACTAAAATCTTGATTTTTTTTAAAAAAAAAAGACGTTTATCTAGCCGCCTATAATTAACGTACTCTCGACGAGTACATGAATTGATTTTTGTCAGCAAAACATTGTTGTCGTTGCTCTTCTCCTCATTCTTATTATTTATTATTGTAAATATATTAGTATTCCAAATTTTAGAAACACTAGCCAAGCTTACGAAGTCATAAATGCTACGTGACCTCAAACAGGACAGCGCTTATCGACGACCATCGATCAGCGCCGTAATTTAGGCGGATCAATAGACCAAGCCCTCGAGTAATGCAATGACATAATACTCTACCTGGAAAAAACCCTGGCATATATTTGGAAAAATAAAACTAGCTATTACTGGCAATTTTAGTATGTTACGATAGTTGATTTGTACCGATAAAATTTTACCCGTACTGGTGGATCTTGCTAAGCTTACCTATGATACCGAAACTGTCATATGCAGCGGTATAGCAGCTATACAAGCACACACGAACGTTGATAATAAATCCTTGTTTTTCCTTAATCCCTTATTGTTTTATTTTCCTGGTTATTAATTCATGAACACAATTTTTCGCGGGCGCGGGCATTCGAAGAAATGCGCGTTAGCCGCGTACTACGCTATTCTTAACTGTACCACTGGCGATTTTAGGGGGGTGAGCCATGTCCTCTTAACATACTGCAAGCAGCTTATCGGCATAACCATTGCGCTAGTTGAATGAAGGCCCCGCATGATAGGCAGAAACCCTTAGACTTTTTTCATAATGTTTTGCATAAGTGCTTCTACGTTGGTCCCTATACAAACAGGCCCGGCATAATTATAGATCTACTTAGCAATGTCTGGGTGGGCCCTCTCGTTCAACGTTTACTTTACATCACCGCATTTATTCGAATTACATTTATAATAATTTTACTTGATTGTTAAGTCGGTGGATGCTCTGTCTCAGGTAGACTCAGATTCTCCAGGAAGCTCGTTTAAATTGTAGTCGGAATCTAGCTAAAAGCATATAAGGGCTTTTTCCAATTAGGCTGTCGCCGAACATACAAAAAGGTACGCGTCCTCCTAGGACAGCAGTGTATAATACAAGAGAATCAGAAAGTGGCCAGATTTTTTCAATGCTACTGTTTAATTATCGTAACTCGACTTGAGCACAGTCACATCTATCTTCGTCAACAGAATCATTTTGGACGAACAGATAGCCCCGAGAGCGTGGTCTATCGTGGTATCAGGCTCATAATGAATGAGCACAGACAAAAATACACTACCCAACACTAGAGTTGCCTATTTAATTAATAGCTGTTCCAGTTCCAGCTGAGTTGATAAATTTGAGCTTCATGCATTTCCAAGACAGGCACAAAATGTGACATTTATTAAAAAACATACGATTTATCGTTTGCCCCTGCACCCTGCAGGTATTTCGTCATCAGTTTTGCCTTGTCTTTGAAGTGCCACACCTTACCATCTGGTACGTACAATAAACTACTTCTAGGCTGAAGCACTTGTTGCGATCGAACCTATTCTGATGTCTTCCCCACGGGAGTGGGAGTAGTCGGCGGATCTCAGTTGGAGTCGTTTTTTTTTTTTAATTCTTAAAGGCAGTTGACCTGCAATATAACTACCCTCCTTCTCGTATATGCAAAATTAAGTGCCACGAAAATCAGGCCCATTGCAAACTTACGGCTGCTGAGATACCACCATTTCCAAAGGGTGTCCGTACATATTTGTGTAGTTTCGTTGATGGAGAATGTTGTTATACGGTCCGGTAAGAATTTTTGGTTCCATCTAAATTTCTATGGTTCGTCCCCATAGCAAAAAAGAACTATTGTTCACGATGAAAGTGTTGTATGATCAAATCATTGCGCACTCGTAGCGCAGTTTCTATGTATTATTCTATCTGGGTGCGCGGTTCCGATGACAGACGTAACAAATAATAATGTTTGCGAAGGGCCGACAACGTTCAGCCGGCCCGCCGGCCAATCTATTCTTCTTATCTATTCTTCAACTACCTACGATAAGAGGTAAGATGTTATCAGTAGTCGAACTGTTTATTGCAGTACCTGTTGGAGTGTATCAATTCAAAAATCCCCATGCTATTCATGCGTCCGAATTTTACCCACGTCAAAATATCGCATTCCGTCCAAACGTGTATGTGATTCTAGAAATACGTATAGTGACTCCATCTCATTTCGAATAGCTCATTAACATCAAATAGCTTGCTCCCATCGTTTGAGCCGAACGGCTGCGAAGCGAACTAAGGGATAAAATGCTAAGCAACAATGTCCTCGAAATCTATCTAGTAAAATGATGTACTAGATAACGTTTTTCCGTCCCTAGGAAAACGACTAGCTGATTTAGCCCTTGGGACGCATCAAATTAAATTAACAAAGACTTCAACATCGCTGCTGATTAAGCGTTCTAGAAAATCCTGCTCGCATACTCCGTTTGTATTTCGTAGCTTGTTGCTGTTTGCTGATGCCTGAACGAGTGCACCATGTTTTAAAGAGACCCTTTCTTCATGTTCGATCAACTTAAATGCTTGAGATGTTGCTCGGACCTTTTACAGGCCATAGTAGTCGGCTTTCTTAATTCTTTTTCGCTCTGAAATTGCCAGTGAATAAATAGCGTATGCCAAAACTCGCATCGTAGATAGTGCTGCTGGCTGCGAGGTGTGCTAATCAATTCAGTCACTTCGTTTGCTGAAAACCCCATCACCCTTGAGCCAGATTGAACATGTATTTGCTTTATGCGGATTGCTATACAAGGAACGACGCTAACACAAGTCTTCTCTTTTAAACTAACCGTATAGTCTTCGTTGCATGCCAATGGAAACAAGATAGTCCCGGTAGTTTCTCATCGTGACGTCACCCCGTGAAGCCATCGCCTCAGCAATAAAGAACAAGTAACCTCTTGTGGAGGTGTATCAATTGCAAACACTTGATCTCGCAAACTGGCTACGAGATAGTCCGGTGCCGTTTTTTTCCATAGACATCTTCAAGACAGCATCGACATGTTGGAAAAACTGAAAATGGAAGAATGAAGTGGGCCACTTACTTTTTATCTATGTGTCAAGCGTTCAGCATTCTTTTTATAGCCGCCAACCTATTATTATCAATGTTAGGTCATTACCTATAACATTTGTCTAAGGCCATTTCACGGTACGATTCGGCAAACCGTAAAACGGTGTTACACTATGGCAAGGGTTGCAGAGGCAGTTGTGCTAAGCGAACGCTAGACGGTTACAACGCCTCGTTTGTTACAGTACGTTAAAAACACATTTACTTTTTCGTTGTGCGTCATTATTATTGGCATCAAATTTGAAGAGCCGCTCGCCTCTCGCAAGCCTAAGAACCCTTTACTGCGGCTCTGGCTAGGCCACATTCGACAATACACCCTACTCTATCTATAAAAGTCGCATTCGGCTGACTGGTTTAGAAAATTAGAAAACATCTCAAGGATAAAACGCTAATATAGACTGAACAATGTTGACACCGTAGGAACATAGTCGCGCCTAGGCCAGGCCGGACCGGGCCAGGCCCGACCAGGCCAGCCCACTCATTGCACGAACGCTTACCTATCCTAGCTTAGAATCGCTTCAAACAATTGCTATAGCTCGACTATTTTAAATACGAGTGCAATAGGCAGAGTCAATTTACCGGATTTTAGGTTAATTGATCCTATGAGATAAGTCAGGGTAGCGATAATGGTAAACACAACAATAATAAGAACGCGAAAAATAAAGATGGATATATAGCATATATATTACATTGTTTCCTTCTAGTTTGACATTGATCAAATTTCCTCGCTGTTTGTAAAGTTTTAAAGTAAAATTACTTCTTTTTTTTTGCCACCTGAACTGGGTGTCGCATAATTTCCGAAGGTGCTGCTCCCTTGTGGTCGGCGAACGGAAGGACTAGCATGCGCCTAGCTACGATCAGTGTGGGAGATGTCAATACCGTTACGGAAACGACAACCCAAAGCATTTTCAGCGTTAACTTTACTCGTTTACGTTCTGGAACTTAGAATTAGAATAGTAAGGTTACGCAAATCGACATTAAGAGAAGAATAGATATTAACAAAGAAAATACTCTCTTATCTAGACGATAAGAAGCAAGAAAAAATGCTTTATCGATGCGACTATAGCTTCTAAACGTCCTAATGAGTAAATATAGGTGCCAGGTAATGTCTGTAGAGGAATCGATGCATCAGACGTAATACCTCAAGGCTGACTTGACAAGTTCGCTGTCGAGGCACTATTTGACGAACCAGGACACAGTTATTGCCGTCTACTTCTTGTGTCATCTAGATTTCTACGCTGTGCATCGTCTGTATAGTAACGTTTGAACGTGGAACGATGAACTAACGTATTGAGCTCGACGGTACCAAAAGGTCCAGCCCAAGGTAGGTCAGCGGCTATAGAAACTCAAAAAACTTGTGTAGAAAATTAACCAAGACACTGATGTACGACTGTCGTCGTTCATGTTGGGTGAAAGATTCTAATTTTACTTCATGTTAGCAGTTGTGTGTACTGAACAGCTTTCCGTAAATATTCGTTACTAGCACACAAATGTACAGAAAGCATAGAAAAAAAACACAGTGCTATTGCTAGACCTAGTCGGCTCAAGGTAATAACTGTAATGGTATTATAATTAGTTATCAGCCAATATCGATTAGCAGTGTCCTTTCTACTCGAACGGAACCGAGAGAGCACAATTGTTCCACACGCTGCTATGGTCTAGGTACCCGAATCTTATCGAATCGAAAACTTATCGTAAATCAACAAGTACATACTACATTATATGAGTAAGAAGGTGGTATTCTATGTTACCTGCAAAAAAAGCATACTATTATTTAATTATTCAGTAATACGTTAATATATGATATTATTTAAGCTATCAGTGCACTTTTATTGATAGATCGCGTAAATGGATGTCGAAATTACGGTTTAGTCCGTCTACATAAATTACGTAGTGCTTTTCGCGCTTGCCAATAACAGACACAGCGAGACCGTGTCTAAGCCAGGCTACCAAGCACGCGTTTATCACGCACAAAAATAATGTAAGTATAATTAGCAGCAAGTTCACGATGATCTACAGTTGAATGAAT